GGAAGGGGAGTATCTGGGACAAGAAGACACTGGTTCTTCTCAAAAGCAAATGCTGCTGGTGGGGGGATGGATCTGTTCTAGCAAAGAGCCAGAGTATTACTGCTGGGATCAGTTCATTGAGTATTCATTGGCTTAGCTTCCTTGAAGTCAATTTTTACCAGCTGAGAATCTGGCCCAGGTTATTAAATTACTGAGGATCATTTGGTTGCATGGATCAGAGAGAGTCCTGCCCTGGAGTGACATAACTGAGCTGCATAACGAGTGCTTTGAGCCACTTAAAAGTGTTAATGTGCGGACCACCCGAGGGTGAAGAGTTCCAGGAGTCACCTAAAATTAATGTGCAACAAGGCCCTTGACGAGCACCATACAGGGCAGAAGGAATTAAGGCTCCAGGGAAGGTGACTTATCTTGGGAGTATCACTGCGAGGACTGACTCTGTGCACATGCATGCAATGAGCCAGCCCCCAGTCCCTGCAGCCCCCGTATCACTGCATGCATCCAGCCTCGCCACACGGGACTTGCCAGACCAGATCAGACTGGGGTCTCCAGCCTCAGACGCTCCCCAGCACCAGCTGCCCCAGCGGAAAGTGTGAGAGGCCCTTCGTGGACCACTGTGGCATAGCCCAGCAGAGGGGAAGCCCCAGGGACACCCATTGTGGTTGAGCTCTCCCCTGAAGCCAGGAGTCTCGTACCACTTCCTCCAGCTCAGCTCATGCCGCGGAGAGAGTGCCAAAGGAAATGCCACCGCTGTTTCCCACGCTGCCAGCCCCAGCCTTGACCTCCATGTCTAATAAACATCTCCTGCTTCCTTTTCCTTCCCCCCCAGAGCCAGGGCATCTGCCAACAGGAGAAGCATTGATATAGGGCTCTGGAAGGAGAGCAATTCACTTGCATGGCAGCCTTGCCGGCTGGGTGCAGGCAGAGGCTGGGCATTTGGCTTAGCTTGGGGTTAGTTTATTGCACTCATCTTTTCTATCAGTGCATGAACCAATACCTAGGGACTGCACATGTCCACTGGAGACACTTAATTATTATTTATTGCCTATTCCAGTGCTGCTCACAGCCTGGTCTGGGGATTGCTGTTGGTTTGTAAATCACTGAGCTCTGGCTGGCTTATTTGAAACCCATGTCTTTGGTTATTTTTCTATTGCTATTACAGGGATGTGTCATGCGGCCAAGCAGAAGGGAAGTGATCAGCGCAGTTTTAGATGGGCTTGCTACATGCTCTCCTTACTATTCATTTCACTGCACAGCCGGCACCCCATTGTGCTAGGCGCTGTACAAACACCGATCAGAAACCCGGTTCCTGCCCAAAGCATGGGGCAGTCAACCAACCCCTCTGTCACCACAGCATACCTTCAAGGAAAACACTTGAGACCTGCTGGGAGAAGCTATCTGCTGTCTCTTCCTCCCCACTGGTGACAAATATTGAACTCGCTGCTTAGGAAGTTGGTTCAGGACGTGACCATTGCAGTTGTGGCAGTCGGGTTGTTCATGGAGAGTCGGGTATAGAAGAGGGAGCAGGTAATTACTGTTTCATGCACGGTGCTCTGTGCAAGAATAAAAGGGCTCCATTTGGACTGCAGCTGGGACTATCATGCGCTTGCAGCCATGCGGTGCTGGGACTATCATGTGCTCGGAGCTGCTGCTTGCAGCCATGTGGTGCAGCGTGCGCTTGGAGCTATTGCAAAACTCTCTAAGCGCGTGGAGCTTCTTGGTGTCGGCCTCCAAATCATCCCCCTACAACTTGGCTTTGTCTCTAGTGGGTTATGCAATAGAGAAGATCCCACACAATTTACTGATTCGTTTTGATGCACTGGCTGGGGGAGTAGTTAGCTGATTGCACGATTTCACAATGATTACACTCTTAATTCATACAACACCATTTTATTTTAAAACTCTTTGCTACACATATAATACTGCTTAGCTTTAAGAAATACCACAAACATTTAGAACACAATAACTACATATGTCAGAAACAATGCTCCGAATGCACTTCCTTCCCAAACAATGCTATAAGAATTAGTGTTACAAAAACAATTACAATTACAACTAAAAGTTAAATTTGAATCAATGCTATTATTTTCATAATATACTTACAATCCCAGAATTCCGAGAAGCCAAACACCTAAATATGGTTTCATTCCTCAGTAGTACAATTTAATGGGTTGGCCTCAGTAGTACGGTTCAATGGGCTCGCCTCAGCAATACGATTCAATGGGCTGGCCTCAGTACTGATAGGACTAAGTCCCCTTCCTTCAGTCCCTTTTGGGCGCTCTGCAGCTTCAGCGTGAGCTAAGAGATTCGTGTTCACGGAGAGGGTGGTTCAGGTGATCAGTCTGATCCAGTCTACACTTGCGATTCTTCCTTCGTTGTTCTGCAAGTGAGGTTACCCCCAAATTGGAAGAGTAGGTTACAGTTTTATTGAGTGAGTTGCCGTCTAGGGCCCCTCCTACCCAAACCTGTCACTACCCCCAAATTTGGGCTCGGATCTTTCTCAACAGATTTTTTTGCTTGGTAATTAGTTTCTTTTGTTGATCGTTTTAATTACTTTGGGGAACTTCCATATCACTACAAGTGACCTTTTCTTTCCAATTTTTTCAAAGGCCCTAGGGTTTGATCTCTCGGAATTTGGGATATTTGCTTAAGGGTCGTTTTTAGGTTCTCTTTGTTAAAGGCCTCTAAAGATAAAATTCAAGAGTTAAGACTTTGAGCAAAGTCAGGACCTTCCGCACGTAGACCAAAACAATAGCCTAGATAAGAAGATAAATCTTGTCTTCTTCCTGAAACTGGCTAATGGGCAACTATTACAAACATTCAACATTCAATATGACAGGCTTCAATCTACAGGGAACCTAAAGGCTGTCACATTTTCCAGCTGGACAGACCACAACACACACAGCATTACCACGTATTCCTATTTATATGATGGTCATGCCCTGATGCTGTACACCCAAGCTTGTTAGACATAAGGCCTGCTTCAGAAAATGCCTTCTTGGCAACAAGAGCATGCTGCTGGCTCCTGTTTGGCTTCTTGTCCACTGTCACCCCCAGGTCCTTTTCTGTGTCTGTAAGTCCCCGCTGACGCTGGCTGGGAGCCCCGACATGCAGGCAGTTTTGTTTTCAATGTGCTGTTGAAGATGTCAGCCGGCAGGAAGCCATGCTTCATTGCATTGGTGCTGTACTGTTACTTAACCATGCTAAATATGGATCAGAGTCTGCCTCCGCAGCCTTTTTATTAGTGCTGTATTATTTTGATGCTGTTTCCCACAAGCCCATTCGACTGGGGTAGAGGACAGCAACATTTTCATTGCTAAAAATACATTTCATGGCACACTGGTTAAAACTCACGCCCATTCAGCTGTGACCCAGGGCTGAACATTACTGTACCAGAATGAAAAGTATCCCTGCTCCAGAAAACTCAGCACCCAACTAAATTCAATGGATTTCCTATGCATGATCACGTGTTTGGCTGTAGTATCTTCTAGCAATGCTCTCTCAGGGAAGGGATGGTAATGGAGGTCAAGATTGTGGTGTTTCTTTTTCAGCCGCCATTTAATAAATCATTTCTTGAAAAGTCATTTTTATCTTTGCCATCAACATGCTTGACTTGGCTTGTATTTTTTGACATATGTTGCAACCCTTCACAGTTTCCTTTATCTCAGTGTTCATTTGAAGCCAGTTAAAGGCATCTCTGGCCCTTCTTTAGGTATTTCAATCTCTAAATAGCCCCTGTATGTCATTTGAAACATGCTCCTCTCTAGAGCCATAGGAATCACCATCTTGGTTTTAAACAAAAACCTCTCCAGTCCTGAGCATGTCACCTTTGAGTGGTAATAGTGGCTTCAGAGATGATGTCCTGCCCATCCTGTGCTAATAGGCTTAATTGCTTCCTCTGGGATCTCATCCTCGGCAGTAGCTCTGGCGCTCACAGTCCGAGATGGGACTCACATGTTTGAATCGAACTGAGATGCACTGCGTGCTGCTCGGGGCTTTGTTTGATTTCTTTTTTTTGGCAGATACTCCACCCTGTTCATTGCTGAGCTTCCCTACCCCTGGAAGATGTCCTGCAGCTCGTACTTGCTTGCCGACCTGCGGTTGTTTTCCACATCGCCGCTCTACGTGTTATTTGTACAGCCTCTGATTTTGAGCTCCACAAACAGCTCCTTTTTAATGTAGTCTACTGGACTCTTTCATACCCCCAGCGTCCGAGCATTTTCCACCCCCCGGAGAAGCTTCAGTCTGCACGGGATGACTTTGCTCTTGAAAACCCTTGAAAACCCCAACTACTCCAACCCTGCCATTGTCACAACGAAGGCTACTTGGATCATCTTCTCTTCTGCTAGAGGCAAGGCTTTTAATGGCGATATCATTTATTGTCCCAGTTTACCCGCTGGGAGAGATGCTAGGCACAAAATTGCCCTTCTGTTTCTTGCAGGTGCAACGTGAAGTGCTGTTTAAACCTGCTCCACGTCGTAATCTAAATTTCCAGTTTCTGCTATGCCGGGGGCTTTTTGCCTCTCTTGCCATCTCCTTGGCTGAGTTTACTCCCGGGGCCAGGTGTTGTTCAGTGATCACTCAGAGCCAAGGAGCTTGCATGCTTCGGTGTGAGCTCAGCCTAGTGTAGCACAAGGCTCTGTGCAAGGCAGCGCCCCTTCCAGCTGGCTCTTAATGCCCACGATTAAAAACTGCAAAATCAGCAGGCCCATTTAAAATATCTCCCTTCCCCCTGTTCTGCTGTGGTCACATCTCACTCTGGCTCGTATCTCATAAGCCCAGTGATATCAAGAGTCCCCATGACTGTGAATCACGGCAGCTGGTTCCCCTTTTGTCTTGGGTGCATTGGTTTTCCCCCAACAAGCCCAGAACGTGGGTGAGTGCCCAGCTGCCGATGCTAGGAAAATGAAAGTCTCCCAAGAAGGTCCGTGTCATGGGCGGGCCCAGCCGCAGATGTGGAAAGCACAAGAAGACGGGACTTCAGTCCAGATCCCATCAGCAGACGCAGGTCCTAGTCCGGAAACGAACCCAGCTCCACACGCTGATAGTTTGGGACCATGGAGATGTGGAAGCAAATATTTTCACAGAAGATGCAGCAGGTGCAGCCAGGGGACAAGTGGGCCCTTAAGCTAGATGACAACCTGCAGCCCAATGTCTTGGGGCCAGGATGGATGCAATTCCTGCAGCAGCGTGCGTTCGGCAGGTGAGGAGGATACAGCAAAGCAACCTCGGAGGCCTTGGAGCTGCGGTGGTTTCCCCCTTCGGTGCTAAGGAAGAGGTGGGCTGGACAGTACAGGGGGCTTGATTCATGAGGAGTAAGGCTGGCTGCAGTGTTTTCCTCCTAAATCTTTACTTAATGGGAAAAGTCTTTTTTGATAACACGGACATTTTTGGGGCATGGGGGTGGAATTGCTGTTTTCATCCCAAAATGTTCAGGGTCTTGTTGCAAAACTGACAGTTTTCCCCTTGGGTTTGCCACGATCCTTCCAATTTTTCCTGCAGGTAAGGAACCCTTTCCGTCCCCTTCAGTCACCGCACGTGAGCGGTTGCTGAATTTCTCCCCTTGTCTGTTGACATGTCGAGCTTTTTCTATGCGTTCTGTGTTTGTGCGAATAAGGACTCGACTTGCCATTTCTTGTGATGCATGGGGACCTGCCGTCTCATATTTATACGTGTCTGCATGGATGCTGGACATGTGTCAAAAGGGTCTCACATGCCAAGGGTTTCACAAGAACTTAGGAGCAGTGACAGCTTGATTGATCGATCATTGGAAAAGTCACGCCAGAAGAATACAACTCCCTGGTTTATTATTCTTGTCTATAAAGTGGTCCTTCACTGATCGGGGAGCAGAAGCAAGAGCATGAGGCTCAGGTGGCTAATCTCGGGGCACAAAGAGTGAATACTGAATAGTTAGAGACAACTCTCCAGTGATTTGCGCTGTGTTGTTTTGGAGACAGAAGGGTTTGGTGAATTTTTACCAACAGCCAAATACACGTGGAAAAAGAAATTAAGATCAGATCATGGATGATTTGCTAACCCCCAAAGTGGGGCTAAACCATAGGAAATGCTAAGGAATAGTTTGACTGGATTATGGAAGCATTTGCCATGTGCCCGTCCTTCTGGCTTCTAGCTCCGGCGTCCCCCAAATGCACTGGACCCACCAGACAGCAACGGGAGCAGCAGGTGGAAGGGAGGTGGTGGAAACAGGTGGGGAAAGGCAAGAAAGGGGCAGAGGAAGAGGGAGGCTGAACTTTAGGGGCTGTGATGAGATGGCTGAGAGAGAGGGTCGAGGTGTGAGAGCGGGGCCAGGCCACACGGCTGATGTCAGGAACCCTTCTTTGCTGGGAGCGGCCCATTGACAGAGCTGGGAGTTGTGTCTGGTTGTCCCCAGGCTTGGCCAGAGCCCTCCACCCACATTTTCCTTTTCGTTTTCTTTTTCCTCCTATTTCCCCAGGTTTGGGCTTGGTGCTCCTACGGCTCTATCTGCTGAACAGCACCGAGCCCAGCTCACATCTGGGTAGGGGCAAAGCTACCACACTCAAAATGGACAGATGTTGTTGCTCACTAGTACCCCCATTCCTGGCTTGGGAAACCACTGGCAGCCAGTAAGCATCGCGGCATTATTGAGTCTGCTGCGTGCCAGGAGGTGGTAGCCTGCATAGTAATAGCTACAAGCCGCATATTGTCTGTATTGTCTGGTGTGCCAGAGGCACCCCTTAAAAATAATAAAATGAACAGGATAAAATTGCAGTGGAAAAAAGGCTTTTAACATCAATTCAGTTGCATTTTGCTCCATTCCCATTATGACAACTTCAGTGATGTTTTGTTCCATAGCTTTGGTGCACAGGAAGATCTCCCTTCCGGCCATCAAATTTTGTGATCATTTTAGATCATTTTTGTGTGTGTTGGGGGGGAAGGGGTGGGGGGGGGAAGGCAGATCCAGTTCTTCTTCCTGTAGCCAGCACTCCTGTAACACATCTCTTATACTGGAAAATACAGTGCATCTGCATAAGAGCTGCCATTGACTGGGTCAGACCGTAGGTCCGTTTTGTCTCATCTCCTGTGTCACACAGCAGCAGCGGAGGCTGGAAGAGAGAGTGATTGGATCTGATGAGGGTTTTTCCACCCCGTCCCTCTCTCCCTTGCAGCCTCCAGCATTTAAGGTCCAGGACGTCCTGATGCAGAGGCCGTGCCCCTCTTGCCCATGCTCAATAGTGACCGATGCCCCTTTCCTCCAAGAAGGGGTCCAATCCCTTTTTGAGTCTGGCTAAACTCTCAGCGTCTGGTGGCCACGAGTCCCACGTTGCAATGATGTGCGGCGTGAAAAGCAACTTCCAGCCGCCGCTCCTCCTGCAGCTGCAACGGCCCCCGCATGAGAACAGCTGGTGGGATCAGGGCTGCGGGTCAGGGCTAAGTTCGATCTGCTCCTTTCTCCCATTAGGTTCCAGTGTTCCCAGTGCCATCATGCCTGGCAGTCCGCCCAGGTGCACGTGCTCTTCCACATCCACCTGGACCGGAGGCAGAGACAGGGCCAGGTGAAGATGAAAATCTTCAGGCAAGAGTGCAAGAAATGCCTCCTGGTCATGCTGGAAGAGCCACAATTCAGCCCCCGGCATGTCAAGAGGGTGCTGGATAGCCTGGGGCGGAAGATACGCCAGAAGTGCTATGGGGAAACTGCCCATCCCAACAGTGTGCCCACCATCGTTGCGGGAGACCCCACAAAGGGGCCGCACGACAGCACCTGCTGTGGACTGGGTGTTTGCAGCATGAAACACAAAACGCAAACGCTGCCCGACGTGATTGTTGGATCCACTTGCACCCACCCCGACCAGTGGGAACAGACTGGGGTGGCAACGGGGGTAGGCAGCGGCTTCAGCTGGCGGCAGTGTTGTTGCTACAGCTGTTGCGTGCTGGCTATTTCGGCCGTGCTCTTTTTGCTTCTGCTGTATTTCACCCCCAAGAAGTAGAAAGCCGGCTCTCACGCTGGTCCCTTGAGCCACAGCTGCCAGAATAATTATAGGTCATTTCCATATATGCATGTGCAGGGTTGAATGCATTATCGCACGCATACATTACAGATGCTCACAGCTGCAGGCACCGCGTGTGCTTGAAACCTGTTGCTTGAATCATGTCGCCTGACATAGCTCATGTAGGGCTGTCTTATGGCTCTCCTCACCGAGCATCCCCAAATCATCTGAGGCTGGCACTAAATAACCAACGTGCTAAAGATGTAGCTAGCGTAAAATATGAGAGTGTGTATTAGATAACAGAAAGAAGGGATGCATATGCCAGCATTCATCAGCGTGCCCGGAGAGGAGAAAAGACCTCCGGGCACCTGCGCTGTCCCAGACCGTGACATCTCGTATAAGTGCTGCTTTCCAAGGACCCGCTCCAGAAGTAGTTTTGACTGGTCCTGCACCGCGCAGGAGAGAATGGGGGGCTTAACTCCCCCGTGGTGGTGCTGGCTTTGAAAGGAGACGGTAGAGACAGGCCCTAATGGCTCCATGTGCGGATATAGAGGCATAAGTGCTGAGGCTTGGGTAAGGGGCCAGGAGGTGACATTTGCACATCGGAGCTTCATTTGGAGACGGGTCAAGCCAATAAAACTCGGTTAACTTGGTGAATCACCTGGTGTGTTGTGCAGCTCGTCACCCGGAGTTGGGAGCACAGCGGGGGGTTGGCAGTTCCCATCAACTAGTACCATCAACAGTACCATCAACTAGTACCCTTTGGGTCCGACCCCCAGCCATCGGACCGTGAGCTGTCGGACATCCGTGCATGAATGTGTGTGCGTGTGTGTACATGTGCAAGAGAGAGAGAGAGGAACAAGGCAGGTTCTCAGGGCACGGGGGAGCAAGCTGCAGTAATGCCATTCATAAAAACATCACGAGACTCCCAATGTCCAAGTCAAATGAACTCTGACCCACGATTGCCTGATAGAGACATCAAATCTCAGGGTTTTTTCTTTTGGTGCATGTAGAGAGTGCCTAGCTGGTAAGTCTGTGGAGGGGAAGGGGCAGAGGGCGGGGAAGGGCTGGATGGGTGCATATTGAGGCCCCCACGGTGAGGGAGGGAGCGGGGCAGGGGCTGGGGTGAACGGGGTGCCGGGGCTGGGGTGAGCCATGCAACAGAGCCGTGGGAGGCTGTCTGTGCATGCATGTGTGCACGTGTGTGTGTGCATGTGTGTGTCTTCCCCTCACTCCCAGCCCCCCAGCCCCCAAGCTGCCCCTCACTCCACAGTACCCAGTATCCTGCCAGGGTGTGCAGAGACCCCCCCTCCGCTGGGCTCCAACCCTCCCACACATACCCACAGCCCCTCACACCTTCACAGACAACATCCCCCCACCCATACACACATTTCAAAAATAGCATCTCGTGATTTGCATTTCAAATCTCTTGATTTTTAAGAGTTTGTCTCATGATTTTCGACCCGGTGGGGCTGGCGATACTGAAGCTGTGGGGTGCACCCTGGCCAGGTCTGGCTGTTTCTACTCTCCGAGTGAACTCAGCGCCCTGGTCCCTGGGGAGAGGGTGGGGAGCGGGCAGGGGCAGCCATGCATTTCCCTTTTACTTCCATTTCTCACCAGCCCTGACCTCCCTTCCACTTCCTGGCTCTTGCAGTTGCAACCGCAAAGACCTGTGAGGACAGGCAAACAACCCTGCCCAGCTGGCCAAGGGCTGTGCCCGGGGGTGCAAGCGGAGGTCGTTGTCAAGCAAACACTGCCTTTCCCAGCTCAGCAGCGCAATCGGTGCCCCAGAGAGGCTCCAAAGAGAGTGAACATGGAGCTCTGGGAGAGAAAGTTCACTTTAAAGATGGCCCTCCAGGTACCAGGGCACAGCTGGTCCCTGACCCAGGAGGACAACCTCAATCCCCGGAGCTTGCCCTATGGATGGTACCAATTTCAGCAAAAAAAGTGCTTCGCCAGGTGAGACAAACTGGGCAGTGAACAAGGCCACAGGGTGACCATGTCCTCGGGGGGAGATGAAGTAGGGAGGGTGTGGGGGAGGCTTTGACTGAGCAATCTCTATTTTCATTGTGCTGCCAGGTGGGGTCGGTGGCTCGGTTTCCGTCCACAAACATGGATGTGTCTCTGTGCCAACATTCCCATGTGTTGCAACCATTTTCCTCCTGTTCATGTTCCCTGGCACTCCAACAAACCGTACCCCTGGAGATATTGCACCCTGTACCCCTGGAGATAATTGCATCCCATAACTCTGGAGATATTGCATCCCATACTCCTGGCGATATTGCACCCCGTACCCCTGGGGATATTGCAACCCATGCCCCTGGCGATATTGCACCCCGTACCCCTGGGGATATTGCAACCCATGCCCCTGGAGATATTGCATCCTGTACCCCTGGAGATATTGTATCCCATACCCCTGGAGATAATTGCATCCCGTGCCCCTAGAGATATTGCACCCCGTATCCCTGGAGATTGTCTCTAGTGGGTTGTGGAACAGAGAAAATCCCACACAACTTACTGATTCGTTTGATGCACTGGCTGGGGAAATTTTTAGCTATTGCACGATTTCACAATGATTGCGCACTTAATTCATACAACACAATTTTATTTTCTTTAAGAAATACCACAAACATTAAGAAACAATGCTCCAAATGAACTTCCTTAAAACAATTACAATTACAACTAAAAGTTAAATTTGAATCAATACTATTATTTTCATGATATACTTACAGTCCTAGAATTCTGAGAAGCCAAACACCTAGATATGCTTTCATTCCTCAGTAGTACAATTTAATGGGTTGGCCTCAGCAGTACAGTTCAATGGGCTGGCCTCAATACTGATAGGACTAAGCCCCCTTCCTTCAGTCCCTTTCCTTCAGTCCCTTTCAGGTGCTCCGTGGCTTCAGCGTGAACTAAGAGATTCGTGTTCACGGTTTCAATAAATTGAAACCAGCCACATTTGCAAAGTAATGATCACGCAATGAACTGAATAGTGGCACAGTACGTTTAGACCAGCCACACATGCAAAGCAGTGATCACACCATAAAAATAGCCATCCAGCTATAAAAAGGGCCAACTAGCTACAAAGTTAGTGCTTGAAAATGAGTAACGACTTTATAGCTGCTGTCTATCCCAGTTTAATTTGCATGTGGAACAGTTATGCTCCTCTTGTCAGGGAATGGAGCCGTGCTGTGTGACCCGAGCACCCAGACAACCCTGACCCCAGTTCTTAGAGGACAGAGGGCTAAAAATGATCCCTCCAATAACTTGAATTAATCTGCCTCTCAAGCCAGTTGCAAACCACCTCCGGGTTGTTTGGTAACAGGAACTGGGGTGAAGGTGCTGCAATAAATGCTTTCGTACAAATTATTCTCTCTGGTGTAGTGATGGGCGTGATGGTTTGAGGGGAGGCTGCTGGGCCACCCTCTCCTGCCCTGGCTGGAAGGTGCCGAAGGGGGAAGCTGCACGTGGCTCGGAGAGATGCAGCATGCAACAGCTGCCAAGGCTGCGCTGCAAGGGAATAGGAGCTACCCAGGTGAATCCTGAGCCCGTGCACCTGAAGGAAATGTTTCTCTCACAAGAGGCGGCGAGACTGGGCTGATGCTCAACTGGGTGCGTCTACGTGCAATGCTGACTGCACAGGAGCCTAATAACGCAGTAGCGTGCTGCTCTCCTGCACAGTAACGTGCTGTGCAAAATCCGTATGAATACACTACTGTGCGGTAGCATTAGGCTGCCACACAGTTGGCGTCTGTAAAAACCTGCGAGCTTGCACTACACTGCCCAGGAGTGCCAGTTACTGCGCGCTGGTTTAACACTTGGTTATGCAAGCACTAAACTTAAGGCACCGTAACTACGGCGCATTCATTGCTGTGTAGATGCACCCGCTGGCCCTCAAGTGACATTTGTGTCTGTCCCAAAATAGAGGAGGAAACTCTGTGTGAAAGCTTTCTATTAAGGTATCCCTTTGAATTGGCAAGCCTGGATTCCCCACTGTTTTCCTTGGGAACAGAGCCTGGAAATGTGGGCTGTTGGTGCTCAGGGGACCCAGTCAATGGGGGCAGGGGAGTCTCTCCCACCCACGTGGTGGCTGGTGCTGGTTTTGGGTTCAGTGGCTTCTTCTCCATCCCGGCAGGTTCCAGTGCTCGAGCTGTCCCAACCGCTGGCCCTCCGCTCAAGTGCTCGTTACCTTCCACATGCACCTGGACGCGAGGGAGAGACGGGGCCAGGTGAAGATGCGGCCCTTTGGGCAGAAGTGTAAGCGGTGCGGGGGCGGGAAGTTTGAGAAGCCGAAGTTCAGCGAGAAGAACGTCGAGAGGATCCTGGACAACGTGGTGCTGACGATCCAGGAGAAACTGTACTGGCAGCCCGTTGCCAACAGGCATCTCTTGGAGCCGCTGGTGGAAGATTATGTGGAAGGGCCTCACGACACCGCTCGCTGCGAGGCGTGCGCGCTGGGGATCTGTTACCTGAGGGATCCGGCCCCCAAGAGCCAGCCCTCTGCACCCCCCTACCGCTTTGCTGCCACCGCTTCCCGGGCCGTCGCCTCTCCGTCTGGCCCACAGGCGCAGCGGGTAGTGGACACGAGAGATGGCATGGAGGTCGTGAATTGTGTGGTGGTCATTGTGATTGTCTTGCTCATGCTGGCGGCGCTGTATTTTAGGAAGTAGGACAGTCCTTCTTCAAAGTGGGTCCTATGCAGATGAGTCTCTAAGGTGTTGCTGTCTTGCTTCAAGCAAAGCAGCAGAGGTTGGATGGCACAAAAAGTGGCAGAAATGCAGACACATGCCCATTCACCCTGTGCCAGGCTTCCTTCTAGCCCAAGCAGCCTCACCTTTTCCCTCTCCTTCTGCGTGTGTCCGAGCCCTGGGCCACTGCCTAGGTCTCCTGGTCCATCTTCTTGCCCTTCAGCCCTGGGAGGGGAGGGAGACACCCGCTGTGAGCTGTCAAGGGAGGGGGCACAGCCGCTGAGAGATACAGCCGCACATCGCTCCGGGGTCTGCACCACCGCCCCTCTTGACCCTCGGGACCTCCGTGGGGTCTTGACCAGTCCTTTGCTGGTGATGGAGCTGCTCCTGCTCTCAGCAGCTGAGGTCTTGGCTTGTCCCCTGCTGCAGCTGTGATGGACATTGCTGAGGACAGTGCGGTACAGTTCATTCGTTGCACCCCCACCTGGTGCCCTAGACACATGTCTTTGCAGGTTAGAAAACAAGGGTTTGGCCATCAGTCGCACCGTCTTGAGTAATGCTTTTCTCTCCAGCTGAAGGAGCTCTGGGCAGAGCAGCGTGTGGATGAGAGCCATTTCCTTCCTTTGTACTTTCCAAGGGAAACTCTGACTATATCCCTGCAAAAAATCTGCCCCTCTTCCACGTGCTGCAGCTCTCAGCAGAAGCCTCTGTGTTAAATGGCCTCACTCTTTTCCCTCTGTCCTGGATTTTGCATGTTAACGGAGTGATATTTTGCTCCTGTTTTTTTTCTATCCCTTCAATAAAGCATCCCTGTTGAAAATGCAAGCTCCATCTCCATGGGGTCGTTCCAATCTTGGAGGTTTCACCCAGGGTTACTCCGAGGGTCTTTTGCTAATTTGGCACAGGACAAACCGATGTGAATGCTTCCGAACCCCCCTCCGGGTTATTGGGGTATTAAAAATCAGGCAAAATTCCCAGTTGCAGTCATACAGCAGAGAATAAAGTCAGGCCCACTGCCAGGGTGTGTGGCCTCAGGCACCCCAGTGTCTGTGCTCCTTGTCAAGGCTCATCCCAGCCTTTGCATGCCTGCTTCTGCAAGCCCAGATTTTATATGCTGCAGATTCAGGTTTTTCTTTGTTTCCACCCGTCTCTTGAGTAACTTTCTCTTGGACTAGTCA